AAGTAGTGAGTGGAAGGGAACAAGAAGGAGTCTGAAAGAAGCTCTACATTTGTTCTAGTTTAAGCATCATGTTCATACTGAAAAGGCCTCAGGCTGGACATAGCATTTGTATATGTTAAAGGCTATATTGTTTTGGAGTTTGAAACAATAACGTAAGAAAATATACAGAAATTTCTTTACTGTTACTCATACATCATAAAATGCTGCTCAAGTTTATACCTTTCTTTTGTAACTCACAAGAAAACTTTTCTCTAGAAATTTATTTGAATAGTGATCAATTAAAAAGTGCTGGAATCATTCCAGCCTGGATTCAGTTAACAAAGGCATCTGACAGAGAGCGATGCTACTGAATCTCTCCAGACAAATTCAAAATCATAGTACACAGAAGAGATGAGAATTGCTCTGAGCTACAAAAGGGGACAATATTCGTCTTTGGCTACAGCCGAATAGAGTCCCAGCATTTAATGTTTCTTAATTTGTTTTAATAGTAACACCATGAGAAAGGGCCTCTTGTTCACTGATTCCTGTTCCACACCTTAAATGTGTACGGCTGGATTATCTGATGGTTGGCTAAGGTACTTATTACAGTCGTCCTCTCAAAACACATCCATAAAAATTATTTTTAAAAGTAATGTCACAAAAGAGAGGAAGAAAAGGAAGAGAAGGAATAGAGGAGGACAAAAGAGCATGAAGAAGAGAAATGTAGCAATACATCTTTGTGCTTAGGCCTGGGGACTAGAAAGAACCTTTCAATCAATGAGAATCTTTAAGGAATCTCTAAGGAAAAACAATAGGATCAATAGAAAGTGGAACCTCTTTGTGCACAAGGAATCATTGTGGAAGGTGGGCACAAAGAGATTTTTCTCCCTATGAATTTGTTTGGGGACTTTTCTAGTTCTCCCAGAAGCATGATTTTTTTTAATGACTTGGGCAAGATCATCTCTGCACAGAAGAGGGCTCAATTCGATATGAGTAAATCCTGTATTGCAAGACTCCACTAAGAATTGAACTTCTCTGATGGGAAAAAGTGGCCACTAACCATGAGGAATGAAAGTATGTCATGGGAGACAGATACACACACACATGCCCACACCATTTCTATGTGATGGTATTAAGTGTGTGGGTGATGCGAAAAAAGGGTGAGCAAATCATCTACACTAACATTAGGGTTTGGAAAGGGCACCTGGGGTGAGATGACAGCTGGCCTAAATCTTCAAAGATGAATATGAATCAGGTTGGTAAAGAGGTAGTATGCCCCATGATGGAGCTTGTATGCAATGTAAGAAATGTAGGCCTCATTCAGAAGGCTGGAGAGCCATTAGTTTTTCTTTGTTTTTTTTTTTGTTTGTTTGTTTGTTTTTGTCGGTCCTGGGGCTTGAACTCTGGGCCTGGACGCTATCCCTCAGCTCTTCAGCTCAAGGCGAGAACACTAACACTTGAGCTACAGCACCACTTCTGGTTTTCTGCTGGTTTATTGGAGATAGGAGTCACCTCGGTCTTTCCTGCCCGGGCTAGCTTTGAACCGCGATCCTCAGATCTCAGCGTCCTGAGTAGCTAGGATTATAGGCGTGAGCCACCAGCGCCCGACTAGCCATTAGGTTTTAAGTAGAGTGGTGATTTGGCTAATTCTGTGTTGTCATCTTTTTTAATATCTCTCCAGCTGTCATTGGGAGGGAGTGAGGCTAGAGAGACAAGACTGGTATCGGTAAGCCACACAGTTTTTTGGGGGGATGTCATTTTGAATTATTGGTTTGGAGATAATGAGGACCGGCATAACCAAGTAGTAAGGAGAAAAGAGATAGGTTAGGTAGATGAAAGAAACGAAGATGAGTTTGAAGAAACAATCATTTTTATGGAGTATCTTAGTTCCAATTGCCATAACAATTTAGCATAATCTAGGTGGCTTCAACAAGAAATATTTATTTCTCTCAGATCTAGAGGCTTCAGAGTCCAAGATCAAGGTGCAAGAACAGACAGGATCTAATGAGTCTGTTTCCTCAGTTTTCAGGTGGTCCTTATTGTATTATTACATGCAAGCAACAGAGATCTCCCATGTCTAGTTGTTCTATATTTTTTTTAATGTGGAACTTTGGAGGTTATATATTTGTTTATGAGATTTTTGTCTTTTTTTTTTTGGTGGGTGATGGGTCTTGAACTCAGGACCTGGGCACTATCCCTGAGCTTTTTCGCTCAAGGCTAGCATTCTAACACTTGGAGCTACAGTGCCACTTCTGGTTTTTTAGTGGTTAATTGGAGATAAAAGTCTCACAGACTTTCCTGCTGTGGCTAGCTTTGAACCTTAATCCTCAGAACTCAGCCTCCTGAGAACCTAGGATTATAGGCATGAGCCACCAGCACCTGGCTTGTTTGTCTTTCAAAAGACAAATCTTTTAAAAGATTACAAGTATGTTCCACCTTTCCTGACTTCTTTGACTGTTCTTACAAGGATACTATGCCATCACTGAGTGTTGCACCTTCCTACTCTAATTACATCCCAAATTCCACATCTCCGAACACTACTCTTTGGGGATTAGGAATTTAAAAATCTGAATTTGAGAGAAACACAAACATTTAATTCATGGCATGGAATAATGAGCTGTAGCAAACGAAAGGGTACAGGACCCCTGGGAAAGGCTGAGTGAGGAGGCAGGTTTGGGTAGAGTAAGCAAGAAACAAAGGAGAATTCAAATGTTGGCTGATTTCATCTTCAGTGCTTTGAAGTGATTTCCATGAAGTAAGGTGGGAGGGTCCCCTGGGCACGATGGAAGTGGTTGTTAATTATGGGGTTCAGGGCAACTAGTAAAGGTTGGCAACAGTTCCCATAGGAGTATATTGAGCAATTACAAATAATAGGATTGTGCAATAGTGTCAGGAAAACTACAAAGGCCATGAATTTATAGTCACTAATCTGTAGATTTGTGATTTTTTTTCCTTTCCTAGTAGCACCCAGTATCCTGGCTTCACACAGTCATAGAGAGAACAATTTATGGTGTTTTTCCAAAGCTGGAATTTTGCCAAAGGACTGAAATGGAAGATGAGATCTCAGAAGTCCAGAGTGTTGGGGAAACAGTGATCTCGGTGACCAGTGCAACACTGAGCAAAACTATGAGGCGGGGATGAGGCTTTGATAGTGCAAGTATCAAAGTCTGGCCGCTGAAATAGAGAGCAGCTACGATGGAAAGATAGGAGTTTGAGTCACACACACAAGGGTCTTGTTGAACCAGACCTTCTGTGGTGTGGAGCAGGTCATGGTGAAGTTTCCATTTGAGAATGGAAAGGATAATGTGTTCTAGAGAAAGAGAATTGCACGCACAAAGACAGGATGCAAAGGGAATTAGCAAGAAGATCCATAGAGCCAGAAGACATGTTCCATCGAGGAAAATGGCATGAGATCACAATGGAAATAGACACACGGAGCCCAGTTCTGAAGAGCTGTAGGTGCTTGGCAGCACTTCGTCAGAGGCTATGAGCCAAACTCTCTAACACTGAACATGCTGAACATGCCAGTGACATCTTACAAACAGAGTGAGCGGTCCTTCAGTTCTTAGCATCACAGATAAAGTTGTTTGGTAAAGAAACCAAACTATTAGCACAGAGATCAACTGGATAAAAACAGTTGGTGTGTCCACTTCAACAACAGGAGAAATTCAGCTTGAAGAGAAGCTCTTGTTCATTCAATAAATATGTGCTGTTTGAATGAATAATACGTAAGTGAATAAAAGTGATGGAAGAAAAATAAATAAATAAAACTCTCCAGGTGCCCATGGCCCGTGCCTAATAATCCTAGCTACTCAGGAGGCTGAGATCTAAGAGTTGCAATTCAAAGCCAGCCCACACCGGAAAAGTCCATGAGACTTTTACCAACAATTAACCACCAAAGAGCCAGAAGTAGAAGTGTGCCGCAAATAGCGCAAATAGTAGAGCTCAAGCCTTGAGCACAAAAAGCTAAAGGACAATGCCCAGGCCCTGAGTTTAAGCTCCAGTACCAGCACAAGCAAGACAAAAACAAACAAACAACCCCCCGCCCCCCCCACCCCTTCCTAGCCTCCCCCCCCCCCCCCCCCCCTCCCCCCCCCCCCCCCCCCCCCCCCCCCCCCCCCCCCCGCACCGCAGTCTGAAATTCAGTTCTGAATCTTTAGGTTGGAGCAACAAGTCATTTCTTCCAAGAACCTGAACCTATAGCTGACTGAGTGAAGCCAGAGTTGGTCTTGGTGGATATCTGCTCAGTTTTCATTCTTTTGCCTTCTGAGATACAAATAGCCAACACTAGGGATGCTGTTCGGATCTGTGAGAGACAGTAAAGAAATAGAGAAATCAAAACAGAATAAAATCAAATTACACGGAGTTTCACTTAAAACAAAAATTGATTGAGTTCTGCCCAAAGTGGCTTGTTGTTTCCTGTGCCAGGAACTACTGTGTAGGCCCAGCAGGAAGGGTGCTTCGAAGGCAGATCGCCTTACACCCTCGTTTTATGGTTCATTTCACTTATTTAATGCAATCTGAGAACCTGCAAAAGGAGCATGTTAGAGGGAGGGAATAGGTTTTTTTGTCTGGTTTTGTGTTGTTTTGTTTTAAGTCTCTTTGAATCAAAACATTTGTTTTACAAGGTGCTTAAAAAAATCCCAGAGAAACTAGACTTCTTGAGTTGCACGGTGTAGACGTGTCTCTGTCACACAATGGAAGGCAAGACACAAAGTTGAGTTATGTCTGCTTCCTTTGCTGTCCCCTACACATCATCCTAAACCTGAAGAATTACAGCCATGCCTGTGAATGGTTTAAATCATTCTGACTGCCATGAGAGTTCCTCTTAGGGTCTCTGCTTCGGTAGAGGGTGCATGGGGTTGGCAGGGGAGGAAGGGGTGATGGGAATCGTGATTCATATGTCAAGCAGAGGAATGAATGCACTTTGCTGTGTGACTTGGAAATGTGTGAATTGAACAGCTGGATCTCCTTGTGGTGGCATGCGCCCCTCCTCACATGCTCTCTGTCTTCCCCTCCAGAGACCTCAGTATGAACAACATCACTCAGCTGCTCCTGAATCCCCTGCATAGCCTCCGCTTCCTTGAGGAGTTGTGAGTATTCATCCCTGAAGTTTTGATGTGTCCGGTCAACGCTGGACACGTTCTTCTGTTTGTCTCCCATACATGCTATGGGAACAAGATAAAACAAGACAGGAAAGCTGTCAGCACCAACAACTTTGGCACATGAGGAAACACTTAGTTGGAAAAGGCCCCAGGAGGAGGGGGGCTGGGGAGGGGTGGAGGGATTGCTTATGATTCTGGAAATGAACTTATAAAAGAGTTTATCATGAGACTACAACTGTCTAAGGTGAGACTGAGCCAAACAAATTAAAATTTTAAAACAAAGGCTATTTAAAAAAAAACTGGAGCACACTTTGGAAATAGTTTAGCAGCAGGATATTAAATGTTTGAATACTAGTTCATGTTTATTAAAATAGCAAGTAAAACTATAATCAAAACCAAAACCTGATGTTTGGCTCAACTTGTGACTTCAGAGAATTGAGTTCACATAGCACCGAAACTTCTTATTCTTATCATTTTTTTTTTTTGTCGGTCATGGGGCTTGAACTCTGGGCTTGGGCACTGTCCCTCAGCTCTTCAGCTCAAGGCGAGCGCTCTACCACTTGAGCTACAGCACCACTTCTGGTTTTCTGGTGGTTTATTGGAGATAGGAGTCTCACGGTCTTTCCTGCCCGGACTGGCTTTGAACCGCGATCCTCAGATCTCAGCCTCCTGAGTAGCTAGGATTACAGGCATGAGCCACCAGCACCCGGCTAATCATTTTTTAAATTTACTATCTCTCTGCTTGTAAGTTGAGTTTCCTTCCCAACTTTAACAGAAAGACATGAGGATCTATAATTGGGCTTTCCTAAATTTTCTATTAAAAAAATAAAAATGAAAAAGGAAGAAGCTCAGATTGGTTAATGATATGCAGAGGAAGCTTGATTAAGTCTGGGAATCACTTTCAAGAAGATGAAAAATAACTGTTTAAACACAAACTCTGTACTGAAGAATTCATTTGATCCTCTTAACCCTGTAGAGTGAAGAAAGTGATGTACAATTGTACCACTGCAGTCTTTGGGAAGGACATTTGGCACCAACAGTTGAGTAAATCCTCCAACTGTTGATTAAAGGAATTGTTTAGGCAATGACCTCTTTTGAAAATAGTTACTTTGTAAATCTGAAAGACAGGCTCCAATCTGAGGAGCATTTAACTTGCGGATGCACCACAGAAACTATCATGGCAAATGGAACATTCCATTATAACAAGATTGAGCAGTTCTTCAACAGAATAATATTGTAAAATATTAGTCTCTGTCACTCTGTCTCTGTCTCTCTGTCTCTGTGTCTTTCCATACTAGTAATTGAAACTCAGGGTTTTCCACTTGCTAAACAAGTGCTCATCCACTTGAATTACACTCTCATGTCCCTTGTATGCTTTTTTCAATTTTATTTTTCAGGTAAGGGCTCAAGTATTACCCATTCAGCTTCAGACTACAATCCTTCTATCTCAGCCTTCTGACTAGCTGCAATTGCAAGTGTTTAGCACCATGCCTGGCTTGTTTTTGAGAAAGAATATCATAACTTTTGCAAGAGCTGGCCATGGACTGTGGTTTTTCCTGTCTCCAACTCCTGAGTAACTGAATAGTGTATTTCTTTTTGTAGACATTACATTTTTAATGATGTTTTTATTGCCAGGTACTGGTTGCACAGATCTATAGTTCCAGCTACTCAGGAGGCTGAGATCTGAAGGTCATAGTTCAAAGCCAGCCAGAGTAGACAAATCTGAGAGATTCTTATCTCCAATTAACCAGCAAAAGGCCAGAACTAGAGTCATGGCTCAAGTGGTAGAGCACTTAGCAATCAGCAAAAAAGCCAAGTGAAAACACAAGGCCCTGCATTCAAGCCCAGTACTAGCACAAAATAAATGAACGTTAGTATTTTTACTACTGAAATGTTTGAAAATGACAAATTTGTTTTCAATTGTGTAGGGAGGGGTCTTCGAGCACCAAATCAACATATTCTGGGCTTTTATCACTTAAGGAATGAATATTCACTCTAGGTTCTCTTTTTCTGTCTTCTCTTTTCTCTCAGGTCATTTCCATGGCTAGGACTTAACCTTCATAACACTGAGTCTAGGTCGGTCTTAATCATGGCTGATATATAAGAAATAATAAATTTTTGATAAGTAAACTAATGAGAAGGTAAGCTATGTGAAATGAGCTTGCTTGCATTATTTGCATTAGTTAATATTTTTATGGTTATTCTAAGTCAATATCAAACTTCAGAATATTTTCTTAATTCCTTCCTCTATACAGTAAATATGTAAAAATGTCCTTATTTACCCTATAGTTCAAAGGGATACATCTCCTATCCTTTTCCTTTAATCTCCTTCTAATATTCCATGGCAAAATACTGCCCTCTCCCCCAACACAAAACTGAATTAGACCACAGACCATATCAATAAGTACTTCACTGCCACGAGGATGTGGTTTAATAGAATTTCTTTCTCTGTGACCCAACTCATTCAAAATTACTTGTTTTTCTTCATGAAGCAAGTATTCTTATGCTTTGCTTTAAAGCCAGTCTGTCAAAAGGTTTAAAAAAAATATACCAAAAAAGAAAAAGGTACAAATTAAGAAGGATTAAGATTAGGATGATCGAAGTTTCAGACCAGCCTGGGCAACAAAACTCATGAGACTATACCAACACACAAAAAAGGCTAGATATGGTTATACACACCAGTCATCCCTGCTACTACAGTGTCAATAAATAGATGGTTCAAAGCCAACTTAGACAAAAAAAAAACAAGGTTCTATGTAGAAAATGATCAGAGCAAAAAGTCTAGTTGTCTCACGTAGCAGAATACTTGCATAGCAAACACAAAGCCCTGAGTTCAAATCCTAGTACTAAAAAAATTTTAAAAAGATGCAGGCAAGAGAATGAGGAGGAAGAACTATTGGATGAAAACACTATTTATTATCATCCTTTATGTCTCTAGAAATCCATCAAATATCTGCACTTTAGAACCACAGAATTTCAGAATTAGAGAGGGACCGTTTAAAAAGTATTCTGTTTCTGCCTGGTTTGGAATTGCTTCAGCTGAGCTGGCTAACTTGCCAAATTTAAAATTCAAGATTGCTTTCCCAAATATAATTCTGTGTTGTATGTCAGTGATGTTTTGAAGATGCATCATTCATTTAATGGCAAAGGGGAAAGAATTCATCCCAAGCTTTGAAAAATTATAAACTCTATTTAGTTTGTTTGTTTCCAAAGCTAAATTTTGGATGCAGAATTGTTATTAAAAATACACTCCTAGCTGGGCGCTGGTGGCTCACGCCTGTAATCCTATCTACTCAGGAGGCTGAGATCTGAGGATCACGGTTCAAAGCCAGCCAGGGCAGGAGAGACCGTGAGACTCCTATCTCCAATAAACCATCAGAAAACCGGAAGTGGCACTATAGCTCAAGTGGTAGAGAGCTCGCCTTGAGCTGAAGAGCTGAGGGACAGCGCCCAGGTCCAGAGTTCAAGCCCCACGACCGACCAAAAAAAAAAAAAAATACACTCCTAGCTGCGCACTGGTGGCTCACACTTGTAATCCTCTACTCAGGAAACTGACATCTGAAGATATTCAAAGCCAGCCTGTGCAGGAAAGTCTATGAGATTCTTATCTTCAATTAACCACCAAAAAACCAGAAGTGGGGCTGTGGCTTAAAATGGTAGAGCACTAGCCTTGAGCAGAAGATCTTGGGGGCAGAACCCAGGCCCTGGGTTCAAGCCCCATGACACACACACACACACACACACACACACACACACACACACACACCTGATCCAGCACCTCAGGCTCACATCTATAATCCCAGCTACTCCGAAGAGTGAAACCTGGAATAAGTCCAAGTCACAGTTAAGATTCACAATTACTTTCAGAGGCCTCCCTGGCAAGTAAGAGAAGCAGAAAGTATGGAGTTGCACGTGATTCACCTGTTATTTCCTCTTTTCCTGAAGTACCTAGTACAGGACTTGGTACAGTCAGATTGCTTTAAATGCTGAGTAAATTGGGTTGGGTAATGTCAGGCATATATCTATGCTTTCGTGCCTGTGTGAAGTATCAGTGTGAAGTAATGAAAAAGACAAAGTAAGAAAGAAGGGCCAAAAAAGATAGTGTCGCTATGGGGAAGAAATCAGATATTCAGACTATGAACCCACTAACATCATATGTTGCCAATGAGAATCTTGAGGTATACAATTTCAACACTTTGCTTTAAACCTTTGTTAATATTTCTACTTATAAAAATATATACTTAAGCAGCATACTTTCTCTAATATTTATTTGAACTACAAATGATCATGCACACAGCCAAAGATAGATGTCTAGGGTAGGTGTGTGTGTGTGTGTGTGTGTGTGTCTGTGTGCACGTGCAAATTCATGCACGTGCAGTATGTGAGATGACAAGGCACTATTTGAAAATGTGAAATCTTTCATTCAACTTACTCAGCTCATCATTATGATTTATCTCTTAGCACATTAAATAAGAGACTGCAACTGATACTATTGGTTAGAATATTAATTTAAAAAAAACCAATAAATACATCTTTAAAAATCACTATTAATGGGCTGGGAAGGTGGCTCAGTGGTAGAGCGCTTGCCTTGCATGCATGAGGCCCTGGGTTCGATTTCCCAGCACCACATGAACAGAAAAGGCCAGAAGAGGTGCTGTGGCTCAAGTGGTAGAGCGCTAGCCTTGAGCTGAAGAGCTGAGGGACAGTGCCCAGGCCCAGCGTTCAGGCCCACAACCACACCCCCCAAAAAAATCACTATTAATGAAGCCAAGTTACTATGCTTCCCCCTGGCTTTAATACCCAGTGTATTACTTCCCTAGTTTGCTTCCCTCAACTATATTATAAATTGTGGACGACATGATTCACCCCTCATCTATCACTAAAGCTTAACTGAGGTTCCATAGTTCAAAATCTGATGAGAATCCATAAAGCCCTAGAGATATTTATGAAGTTAATGTTTAAAAAAAGGAAAACATGTAACTCTGGAT